AGAGGCAAAACGAAGCGGGTCTCACACGCGAAGTGGCATGGCGAAGCTGCGCGATGGCTTACGCGGGCCGCCAGCGCGGCACGCCACACTAAAAGCGAGGGCGCTCACCCACGACCTTGCGGGGGCAGCTTACGCGCGAATGTCCGCGCAGTCGAACCCGCTTTTCTCCGTCGCTCAGCTGTGACTCAAAAACGTACGCTCAAAGTATCCCGGCAAAGCAACCTAACATCGATGTGTAGGAGCACATCTGGAAGCATTCCCCTTAAGATTCGGATGAGAATCCAGTTGTAGAATTCTGCTGTTCTCGCAGTCGTAGTCGCATTCGCGATGACAGTCGCAGTGGCAACGGCAGTCGCAGTCACAGCCTCAGCCTCAGCCTGCCTCAGCCTCAGCCTCAGCCTGCCTCAGCCTCAGCCTGCCTCAGCCTCAGCCTCAGCCTGCTTCAGCCTCAGCCTCAGTCTGCCTTCAGCCTCGGCCTCAGCCTCAGCCTGCCTCAGCCTCAGCCTGCATCAGCCTCAGCCTCAGCCTCAGCCTGCCTCAGCAGCCTCAGCCTGCCTCAGCCTCAGCCTGCCTCAGCCTCAGCCTCAGCCTGCTTCAGCCTCAGCCTCAGTCTGCCTTCAGCCTCGGCCTCAGCCTCAGCCTGCCTCAGCCTCAGCTGCATGCCTCAGCCTCAGCCTCAGCCTGCCTCAGCATCAGCCTGCCTCAGCCTCAGCCTCAGCCTGCCTCAGCCTCAGCCTCAGCCTTTCAGCCTCAGCCTCAGTCTGCCTTCAGCCTCGGCCTCAGCCTCAGACCGCCTCAGCCTGCATCAGCCTCAACCTCAGCCTCAGCCTGCCTCAGCCTCAGCCTCAGCCTGCTTCAGCCTCAGCCTCAGTCTGCCTTCAGCCTCCGCCTCAGCCTCAGCCTGCCGCAGCCTCAGCCTGCTTCAGCCTCAGCCTTAGCCTCAGCCTGCCTCAGCCTCAGCCTGCATCAGCCTCAGCCTCAGCCTGCCTCAGCCTCAGCCTCAGCCTGCTTCAGCCTCAGCCTCAGTCTGCCTTCAGCCTCGGCCTCAGCCTCCGCCTGCCTCAGCCTCAGCATGCATGAGCCTCAGCCTCAGCCTCAGCCTGCCTCAGCCTCAGCCTGCCTCAGCCTCAGCCTCAGCCTGCCTTGGCCTCAGCCTCAGCCTGCTTCAGCCTCAGCCTCAGTCTGCCTTCAGCCTCAGCCTCAGCCTGCCTCTGCCTCAGCCTCAGCCTGCTTCAGCCTCAGCCTCAGTCTGCCTTCAGCCTCGGCCTCAGCCTCAGCCTGCCTCAGCCTCAGCCTGCATCAGCCTCAGCCTCAGCCTCAGCCTGCCTCAGCATCAGCCTGCCTCAGCCTCAGCCTCAGCCTGCCTCAGCCTCAGACTCAGCCTGCTTCAGCCTCAGCCTCAGTCTGCCTTCAGCCTCGGCCTCAGCCTCAGCCTGCCTCAGCCTCAGCCTGCATCAGCCTCAGCCTCAGCCTCAGCCTGCCTCAGCATCAGCCTGCCTCAGCCTCAGCCTGAGCCTGCCTCTGCCTCAGCCTCAGCCTGCTTCAGCCTCAGCCTCAGTCTGCCGTCGGCCTCGGCCTCAGCCTCAGACTGCCTCAGCCTCAGCCTGCATCAGCCTCAGCCTCAGCCTCAGCCTGCCTCAGCATCAGCCTGCCTCAGCCTCAGCCTCAGCCTCAGCCTGCCTCAGCCTCAGCCTCAGCCTGCTTCAGCCTCAGCCTCAATCTGCCTTCAGCCTCGGCCTCAGCCTCAGCCTGCCTCAGCCTCAGCCTGCATCAGCCTCAGCCTCAGCCTCAGCCTGCATCAGCATCAGCCTGCCTCAGCCTCAGCCTCAGCCTGCCTCAGCCTCAGCCTCAGCCTGCTTCATCCTCAGCCTCAGTCTGCCTTCAGCCTCGGCCTCAGCCTCAGCCTGCCTCAGCCTCAGCCTGCCTCAGCCTCAGCCTCAGCCTGCCTCAGCATTCAAAATGTGGCCCGGGAATGGAATTCTGGGAACTCGAAGAACACGAAGTGGCCTACAGTTGGCTCCGGGCATTCAAAATCATGCCCAGGAATGGAATTCTGGGAACTCGAAGATCACGAAGTGGCCTACAGTTGGCTCGGGGCATTCAAAATGTGGCCCGGGAATGGAGTTCTGGGAACTCGAAGAGCACGAAGTGGCCTACAGTTGGCTCCGGGCATCCAAAATGTGGCCCGGGAATGGAGTTCTGGGAAGTAGAAGAGCACGAAGTGGCCTACAGTTGGCTCCGGGCATCCAAAATGTGGCCCGGGAATGGAGTTCTGGGAAGTCGAAGAACACGAAGTGGCCTACTGTTGGCTCCGGGCATTCAGAATGTGGCCCGGGAATGGAGTTCTGGGAAATCGAAAAGCACGAAGTGTGTGACTGTATGCGAAAAACGATTCCCCCCGGCAAACCCCAACGGCCCCCCAACGGCCCCCAACGGCTCCCCAACGGCTGCCCAGACCCCCCTGTGGAGTAATGTGCTGCTCTCTTTTTACACCATTAGAAACCTATCAGTCTTCGATGTTAGGTAAAAAAAAATAGTATCCGCCACCACCGTGCCCCCTGGCACGTTGAGGCATGGTAGAATGCCAAGTGCTGTTTGGAAGGATGTCTGTAATATTCTGAGGGGCCCCCCCCTCTGGGCCGCACCTTGTTGCGCGCAGCGGCCAAACTGCAGGGGGTCCCTGGACGGCCATGGTGCCTCCCCGGGGCTCTCCAAGGCTTCCATGACGCCCCTGGAAGCCCCCCAACACGGTCCAAGAGGGCCCCGAGTCGCCGAACGATCGCTCGAAGACGCCCACGACGGCCTCAAAATGGCGCAAGAGGCTTCCAAGGCGCCCCAAGGGGCACCCAAGAGGCCTCCCAAGAGGGCCCCCAAAGGCATAGATCATTGGTTCCCCTTGTATGTTTGAAAGATGTAGGCGTTCTCGCCTTTTCTGCCTTCCGACGCTCCAAGACCGCCCAAGGGGCCCCCAAGACCACCCCAGAACGGCCCAAGAGGCCTCCAAGAGGGCCCCAAATCGGCCTAAGGGGCGCCCCAAGACGGCCCAAGAGGCGCCCAAGATGGCCCAAGAGGGCCCCAAGACGGTCCCACGAGGGGCCCCAGAGAGGGAACACGAGCCGAAAATCCAGCCCAGAGAAGCCCCCAAGAGGTCCCAAGAGGCCCCAAAACAGCCCCCAAGAGGCCTCAAGCTGCCTCCAAGAAGCCCCCGCGAGGCCTCCCACGAGATTCCAATGACCATCCACTAGGCTGATAACCAACAATCCTGGCACGATGGCGAGGCTTGCCGTAGGCAGCTCGATAAACATCAACGGTTGGAGGTCCGCGGAGCTGATTTTTTGGATCGGTGCCGGAGGCGCCGCCATGGGGGCCCAGCGCCGATCCGAGAAATCCGCGGGGACCTCCAAAAGTTCATGTGTATGCCATTCTCTGTCCCCCGATCGACGACATGCACTCAAAACCTCTGCGCCTTGAAAGTGGATAGCGCGTCACTCCGCTCCGCGGGGCCGGAGGCTGGTGGCGGGAGGCTGGGAACAGCTCAGGACGCTGAAGCTCGGGGACCGCAAAGTGGATAGCGTGTAGCATCGAGGCGTGATGGGCCAGAACCGGCGGAGCGACAGGCTATCCAAAAGTTCCCCGATCGACGATGCACAGTCAGAACTAAAAGTAAGGACGCGCGATGAGGATGCCAGCCCCCTGGACGCCCATGTCGAAGCTTCTCGAGCGGGGAGCGCCATAGAAAGTGGTGAAGGATGGACCGACGAGGCAAGGATGCAAGGGTACCCTTGGAAAGGCTACCCCAGCCCAAGACGACTCGACGACCCGCCCTGGGCTCCAAGATGACCCCGACAACTCGTCCGAGAGGCCAGAGGCGAGCCCAGGACCCCCCCCCCAACAGAGGCCTCCAGTGAGGCACGGAGATGCAACCAACAATGGTGAACCTACTGAAGGCCACACAGCGTTTGCGCCCGAGGCTGTCCGGCTGCAGACCACATCAAGGAAGCTTTCCAGCGAGCCCCGAGAAACCTCTCAGCTTGCCGAGCACGGCGAAGAGGGGGCCCCTGGACGGCGCCCAATACTGCGAGAAACCCCGCCAGACGGCCCAGAAGGGCCCAAAGAGTGCTCAAAGAGTTACCAGCCGCCACAAGATGGTACAACCCAGCCTGTTCCCAACAACCGCGCCCAACACGGCCCCGAGACGCCCCAACGGCCCCCAACGGACCCCCGAGCGGCACCCAAGAGTGGCCCCTACAGGCCCCCGAGAGGCCTCAAATAAGCCTCCCAGATGCCTTCAAGAGGGACGAGGGAGGAGGAGGAGGAGGAGGCAGAAGGAGGAGGAGGCAGGAGGAGGAGGACGAGGAAAAGAATGAATGCGGAGGAGAACGAACCTGCGGACCACGATGGGGCGTTAAATATACGCGCCAGCACAAACTGGACACTGAACTGGAGTGGGTCTTAAACCAAGCATCCTTCCTGCTGCGCTGCTGAGATGTCGCGGCGGCGGGGTTGCCGCAGGCAGCTGGATACGCGACCAGAGAGGAGGAGAGGGGAAATAGAAGAGATGAGCGGAAAGAAGGGTGGATGAGAGGACGGGTGAGGCGAGGCACAAGGAGATAGGAGATCAGATAGGAGAGAAGAGACAGGACAGACGAGAGAAACGAGATGGTGGCCTAAAGCAGCACTGAGCACGTTTGTCACAATCGCCGAAATGGGTTTCGTATGCGCTGGCCGCTGTTCGAAGCTACGCTGACCAACGCCGTCTCTGCACGCGGCACTACGGGAAAGCCATAAATGTTAGAATGACGGCTGCGAATGATCCCAGTATACACGGTCACATCTGTACGGTGATTATCTACAGCATCTGTAAAGCCACTGCTGCAATAATCAAGAAAACCACTCTCGCGCCATCCGCTGTTGGGGGGCGCCATTGATCAAGGTCGTGACTGACACGGTCCGTTTACCAAATTCATGAGTGCTGCGAGAATGTCGCGACAATTGACGAGCTAGCGACCTAACTGCAATACAGATAGCACTCGCCAGCCCACTCCTGGCAAGGCGTGGCGGCCTTGCCAGAACACGTCTGGCTCGCGCTGCAGGTGCCGTTGACATGGTCCCCGTCGGCCCCGAAGCTGCCGCACACCTTGTGGCAGATGCTGGGAGCGCCCACCATCGCGTCGCCATCGGCCGGCGGCACGCATGCGAGTCCAGGAGAGCAGTCGCCGTAGAAGTGGCCGTCCGAGCCGCTGCTCCGCACTGCTGCCCCTCCTGCTGCCCCACCTTCTGGCAAGTGCTCGGCGCGCCCACCGGCGAGCCCCGCGGCAGGAGCCACACACTCGAGTCCCGAGGAGCAGTCGCCGTAGAAGTGACCGTCCGAGCCGCTGCTGCCACACTGCTGCCCTTCGCCCTGCGCAAGTCGGCGATCAGCGCCGTCGCAGTACATGTAGCACTCGACAGCCCACTCCCGGCAAGGCGTGGCGGCCTTGCCAGAACACGTCTGGCTCGCGCTGCAGGTGCCGTTGACATGGTCCCCGTCGGCCCCGAAGCTGCCGCACACCTTGTGGCAGATGCTGGGAGCGCCCACCATCGCGTCGCCAACAGCCGGCGGCACGCATGCGAGTCCAGGAGAGCAGTCGCCGTAGAAGTGACCGTCCGAGCCGCTGCTGCCGCACTGCTGCCCCTCCTGCTGCCCGGCGCCATCGCAGTACATGTAGCACTCGCCAGCCCACTCCCGGCAAGGCGTGGCGGCCTTGCCAGAACACGTCTGGCTCGCGCTGCAGGTGCCGTTGACATGGTCCCCGTCGGCCCCGAAGCTGCCGCACACCTTGTGGCAGATGCTGGGAGCGCCCACCATCGCGTCGCCAACAGCCGGCGGCACGCATGCGAGTCCAGGAGAGCAGTCGCCGTAGAAGTGGCCGTCCGAGCCGCTGCTGCCGCACTGCTGCCCGTTTTTTCCTCCTGCGGCCCCCCACCTTCTGGAAGTGCTCGGCGCGCCCACCGCGAATCCATTGCAACTTACACACACTCGAGTCCCGAGGAGCAGTCGCCGTAGAAGTGACCGTCCGAGCCGCTGCTGCCACACTGCTGCCCTTCGCCCTGCGCAAGTCGGCGATCAGCGCCGTCGCAGTACATGTAGCACTCGCCAACCCACTCCCGGCAAGGCGTGGTGGCCTTGCCAGAACACGTCTGGCTCGCGCTGCAGGTGCCGTTGACATGGTCCCCATCGGCTCCGAAGCTGCCGCACACCTTGTGGCAGATGCTGGGAGCGCCCACCATCGCGTCGCCATCGGCCGGCGGCACGCATGCGAGTCCATGAGAGCAGTCGCCGTAGAAGTGGCCGTCCGAGCCGCTGCTGCCGCACTGCTGCCCCTCCTGCTGCCCCACCTTCTGGCAAGTGCTCGGCGCGCCCAAAGGCGAGCCCCGCGGCAGGAGCCACACACTCGAGTCCCGAGGAGCAGTCGCCGTAGAAGTGACCGTCCGAGCCGCTGCTGCCACACTGCTGCCCTTCGCCCTGCGCAAGTCGGCGATCAGCGCCGTCGCAGTACATGTAGCACTCGCCAACCCACTCCCGGCAAGGCGTGGTGGCCTTGCCAGACACACGTCTGGCTCGCGCTACAGGGCCGTTGAACATGGTCCCCCCCGCGGCGCCCGAACTGCCGCGCGCACACCTTGGGGCAGATGCTGGGGAGCGCCGACATCGCGTCGCCATTCGCCGCGGCACGCATGCGAGTCCAAAACCACAACAAAGAAAAAAACAAACAAAAGATCCAATCCAAAACAACAAGAGTCGCAAAGTAAAAAAAAAACAACACAACAAACAACCAATGGCCCAAGGCGAGCAGTCGCCGTAGAAGTGGCCGTCCGAGCCGCTGCTGCCGCACTGCTGCCCCTCCTGCTGCCCCACCTTCTGGCAAGTGCTCGGCGCGCCCACGGGCGAGCCCGCGGCAGGAGCCACGCACTCGAGTCCCGAGGAGCAGTCGCCGTAGAAGTGACCGTCCGAGCCGCTGCTGCCACATTGCTGCCCTTCGCCCTGCGCAAGTCGGCGATCAGCGCCGTCGCAGTACATGTAGCACTCGCCAGCCCACTCCCGGCAAGGCGTGGCCGCCTTGCCAGAACACGTCTGGCTCGCGCTGCAGGTGCCGTTGACATGGTCCCCGTCGGCTCCGAAGCTGCCGCACACCTTGTGGCAGATGCTGGGAGCGCCCACCATCGCGTCGCCATCGGCCGGCGGCACGCATGCGAGTCCAGGAGAGCAGTCGCCGTAGAAGTGGCCGTCCGAGCCGCTGCTGCCGCACTGCTGCCCCACCTGCTGCCCCACCTTCTGACAAGTGCTCGGCGCGCCCACCGGCGGGCCCGCGGCAGGAGCCACACACTCGAGTCCCGAGGAGCAGTCGCCGTAGAAGTGACCGTCCGAGCCGCTGCTGCCACACTGCTGCCCTTCACTCTGGGCCTTCGCAAGAAAGCGGCGGTTCCCGCTGACAGCACGTTCCTTGGCCTCAGCACCAGGAGACATGGACCCGATGACCAAGAGGCACACGGGCAACATGACAAAGGCAGGTGCCATGTCGACTGCTGAATCACCTGGGTGGGGAGGGCAAACGGAGTCCAGCCTTCCAGACTAGAGCACTGGAGTCAGAATGGCTACCGATGAAAGGGTTGCTGTTGGAAAGTCGACTCCATCCGTCGCGCGCGCGCGTCGCGGCCCCCACTGATCTCGACGAGGCGCAGCTGATGAACCCCCCCAGGCCCGAATACATACCAAACTACCAAATTATCCTGGCAAAGCAACCTAACAGCGATGTGTAGGAGCATATCTGGAAGCATTCCCCTTCAGATTCAGATAAGAATCCTGTTGTAGAATTCTGCTGTTCTCGCAGTCGTGGTCGCATTCGCGATGGCAGTCGCAGTGGCAACAGCAGTCGCAGTCACAGCCTCAGCCTGCCTCAGCCTCAGCCTCAGCCTGCCTCAGCCTCAGCCTGCCTCAGCCTCGCCCTCAGCCTGCTTCAGCCTCAACATCAGTCTGCCTTCAGCCTCGGCCTCAGCCTGCCTCAGCCTCACCCTCAGCCTGCATCAGGCTCAGCCTGCCTCAGCCTCGCCCTCAGCCTGCTTCAGCCTCAACATCAGTCTGCCTTTAGCCTCGGCCTCAGCCTGCCTCAGCCTCACCCTGCATCAGCCTCAGCCTCAGCCTCAGCCTGCCTCAGCATCAGCCTGCCTCAGCCTCAGCCTCAGCCTGCCTCTGCCTCAGCCTGCTTCAGCCTCAGCCTCAGTCTGCCGTCGGCCTCGGCCTCAGCCTCAGCCTGCCTCACCCTCAGCCTGCATCAGCCTCAGCCTCAGCCACAGCCTGCCTCAGCATCAGCCTCAGCCTCAGCCTCAGCTTCAGCCTCAGCCTGCCTCAGCCTCAGCCTCAGCCTGCTTCAGCCTCAGCCTGAGTTTGCCTGCAGCCTCGGCCTCAGCCTCAGCCTGCCTCAGCCTCAGCCTGCCTCAGCCTCAGCCTCAGCCTGCTTCAGCCTCAGCCTCAGTCTGCCTTCAGCCTCGGCCTCAGCCTCAGCCTGCCTCAGCCTCAGCCTGCATCAGCCTCAGCCTCAGCCTCACCCTGCCTCAGCATCAGCCTGCCTCAGCGTCTGCCTCAGCCTGCCTCAGCCTCAGCCTCAGCCTCAGCCTCAGCCTCAGCCTCAGCCTGCCTCAGCCTCAGCCTCAGCCTGCCTCAGCCTCAGCCTCAGCCTCAGCCTGCTTCAGCCTCAGCCTCAGTCTGCCTTCAGCCTCGGCCTCAGCCTCAGCCTGCCTCAGCTTCAGCCTGCATCAGCCTCAGCCTCAGCCTCAGCCTGCCTCAGCATCAGCCTGCCTCAGCCTCAGCCTCAGCCTGCCTCAGCCTCAGCCTCAGCCTGCTTCAGCCTCAGCCTGAGTCTGCCTTCAGCCTCGGCTTCAGCCTCAGGCTGCCCTCGGACAGCCTTCAGCCTGCATCAGCCTCACCCTGCATCAGCCTCAGCCTCAGCCTCAGCCTGCCTCAGCATCAGCCTGCCTCAGCCTCAGCCTCAGCCTGCCTCTGCCTCAGCCTCAGCCTGCTTCAGCCTCAGCCTCAGTCTGCCGTCGGCCTCGGCCTCAGCCTCAGCCTGCCTCAGCCTCAGCCTGCATCAGCCTCCGCCTCAGCCTCAGCCTGCCTCAGCATCAGCCTGCCTCAGCCTCAGCCTCAGCCTGCCTCAGCCTCAGCCTCAGCCTCAGCCTGCTTCAGCCTCAGCCTCAGTCTGCCTTCAGCCTCGGCCTCAGCCTCAGCCTGCCTCAGCCTCAGCCTGCATCACCCTCAGCCTCAGCCTCAGCCTGCCTCAGCATCAGCCAGCCTCAGCCTCAGCCTCAGCCTCAGCCTGCCTCAGCCTCAGCCTCAGCCTGCATCAGCCTCAGCCTCAGCCTGCTTCACTTCAGCATCGTCTGCCTTCAGCCTCGGCTCAGCCTCCGCCTGCCTCAGCCTCAGCCTGCATCACCCTCAGCTCAGCCTCAGCCTGCCTCAGCATCAGCCTGCCCTCAGCCTCAGTCAACCCCCCCACCCCTCCAACCCCCCCCCCCCCCCCCGCCTCAGGCCTGGCCTCAGCCTCAGCCTCAGCCTGCTTCAGCCTTCAGCCTCAGTCCTCCCTTCGCCTCGCCTCGCCTCCGCCTGCCTCAGCCTCGGGGCCCCCCCACCCCCTGCATCAGCCCTCAGCCTCAGCCTCAGCCTGCCTCAGCAGCAGCCTGCCTCAGCCTCAGCCTGCCTCAGCCTCAGCCTCAGCCTGCTTCAGCCTCAGCCTCAGTCTGCCTTCAGCCTCGGCCTCAGCCTCAGCCTGCCTCAGCCTCAGCCTGCATCAGACTCAGCCTCAGCCTCAGCCTGCCTCAGCATCAGCCTGCCTCAGCCTCAGCCTGCCTCTGCCTCAGCCTCAGCCTGCTTCAGCCTCAGCCTCAGTCTGCCTTCAGCCTCGGCCTCAGCCTCAGCCGGCCTCAGCCTCAGCCTGCATCAGCCTCAGCCTCAGCCTCAGCCTGCCTCAGCATCAGCCTGCCTCAGCCTCAGCCTCAGCCTGCCTCAGCCTCAGCCTCAGCCTGCTTCAGCCTCAGCCTCAGTCTGCCTTCAGCCTCGGCCTTAGCCTCAGCCTGCCTCAGCCTCAGCCTGCATCAGCCTCAGCCTCAGCCTCAGCCTGCCTCAGCATCAGCCTGCCTCAGCCTCAGCCTCAGCCTGCCTCAGCCTCAGCCTCAGCCTGCTTCAGCCTCAGCCTCAGTCTGCCTTCAGCCTTGTCCTCAGCTTCAGTCTGCCTTCAGCCTCAGCCTGCCTCAGCCTCAGCATCAGCCTGCCTCAGCATTCAAAGTGTGGCCCGGGAATGTAGTTCTGGGAACTCGAAGAACACGAAATGGCCTACAGTTGGCTCCGGGCATTCAAAATCATGCCCAGGAATGGAGTTCTGGAAACTCGAAGACCACGAAGTGGCCTACAGTTGGCTCCGGGCATTCAAAATCATGCCCAGGAATGGAGTTCTGGGAACTCGAAGACCACGAAGTGGCCTACAGTTGGCTCCAGGCATTCAAAATGTGGCCCGGGAATGGAGTTCTGGGAACTCGAAGAGCACGAAATGGCCTACAGTTGGCTTCGGGCATTCAGAATGTGGTCCGGGAATGGAGTTCTGGGAAATCGAAAAGCACGAAGTGTGTGACTGTTTACGAAAAACGATCCCCCCCGGCAAACCCCAACGGCCCCCCAACGGCCCCCCAACGGCTCCCCAACGGCTGCCCAGACCCCCCTGTGGAGTAATGTGCTGCTCTCTTTTTACACCACTAGAAACCTATCAGTCTTCGCTGTTAGGTAACAAAACACACATGTCCCTCTCCCTTCCCCTCCTCCCCTGGTGGTCTTTGGAGGTGCGTAAGCCTGGGAGAAAAAGCTACTCTTGGAGCGCGCCTTTGCGGTGAGGCAAAGTGTCCCTGAGAGCAGAAACCGCTCGCAGTCGTGGTAACACGGCGAGGAGGGAGTTTCAGAGGGCGTGGAGGAAGTTATTTCTGCAGCCAGGACTGGCGGGGCGAATTCACCCCCTACGGAGTAAGTTTTCCCGTATGAGTGTTAGCCAGCGCCGACCCCGCCCGATAGAATAGCTGCACTGTGCATGTGCAAGCTGTGAATGTGCAAGCTGTGAATGTGCAAGCGGCGTGGTGCAAGCTACGTGGTGCAACCCATGTGGTGCAAGCTGTGGGCTGCCCCTTTACCATCGGCTTCGACCGCATCCGGATGCTCCCCGATCGACGACGTGCGCTCGGGACCTCTGTGCGACCATGGCCAGCGGGCGGGCGCGCTCACTGCCCGGGCGGCCCTGCGCGGTTGGCTCGCGCAGGCCGCGCGCGGCAGATCGCGCGGAGGCAGCCTGCGCGAGCCCTCCTCTTCGCGGCGCCCACGAAGGGGTACCATCAGACCCGTACGGTCGGTTCGTGCGGCTGGGCCGAGCGGCGTCGGCGCGCGCAAAAGTTTCCGACAACGCGTCGATCGTTCAACCTTGCACCGATCGCAGCCCCCATCGTTCCAGGCTGAATTCCGTCGGGCCGCGTGGGGCTACCGTGTCCCTCGGAGTTTCCGCGTAGTTCTCTCATGCATAATTCAACCTTGAACGCCTTCGCCGGCGTCGCCAGCGCGCCATCGCCGGATGAACCTACCGTCGTAAGCATGCAAGGTAAGGATGCAAGACCCTTGGAGCTCCTTGGACGTCAACATTGGCTCAGGATGGGCCGAAGCAGCAGGAACGCGAGGGTGGCCTTGATGAGGCAGCGCATCCCTACTATGGATTTTAGCTGCGAAGGCCATCCTCTTGGCGGCGCCCACCAGGGGGCACAGTGGAACATGATTGGAGAGGACGCGCGGGAGGACACACGACGTTCCCGAGGGCCACGCTGTCCCAGGAACGCAGGGAACATGGGACGCGATCTGGAAGGGTCGAGCTACTAATCAAACTCGACTGTCGGGGGTAGGGGGTGGGGCGGCTCTCAAATGAAGGCGAGGGGGTAGAGTTCTGGGCTTCTGACCGATTGGAGGCCCCCGACACATCCCGCGAGGGCCCTCTCCCAGGGGCCGGGAGGCGGGGCTCACGTCCCCTCTCGAGCTCTCCTCCTCCTCCTCATTCTCCTCCTCCTCCTCCTCCTCCTCCTCCTCCTCCTCCTCCTCCGCCTCCTCCTCCTCCTCCTCCTCCTCCTCCTCCTCCTCCTCCTCCCCTCCTCCTCCCTCATCCTCCCTCCTCTTCCTCCCCTCATCCCCTCCTCCTCCTCCTCCTCCCCTTGGCTCCTACTCCTCCTGCTCATCCTCATCCTCCTTCTCCTCCTCCTCCT